TATGTACCTTTTCTTTCTTTCTATCTATCTATCTATCCATCCATTAATCCATCCATCCATCCATCATCTATCTATCTATCTATCTATCTATCATCTATCTAATCTATCATCTATCTATCTATCATCTATCTATCCATCTATCAATATCTATCTAATCTATCTATCTCTCATCTATCTATTTATCATCTGTCTATCTAATCTATCTATCTATCTACCTATCTATCATCTTTCTATCTATCTCTCATCTATCTATCTATCTATCATCTATCTGTCATCTATCTATCTATCTATCTATCATCTATCTATCTATGTATCTATCATCATCTATCATATTTGGCTTATCTTACTATTGTTCTTGTTTTTTTGTTTTTTTGATCTATCTATCTATCTATCTATCTATCTATCATCATCATCATCATCTATCATATTTGGCTTATCTTACTATTGTTCTTGTTTTTTTTTTTTCTTTTTTGAGATGGTCTCACTATGTAGCCCAGGCCCAGGCTGGCTTGGAGCTCATCATGTGGACTGTGCCTTGAGCTGTGGCAATCCTTTTGACCTCTGCCTCCCATGTGCTGTGCTCAGGTGCTAACCAGTACACCCAGCAACATTTTAAAAATAGGTTTCTTTTTAAAGATTAATTTATTTTTTATTTGTGTGTGTGTGCCTGTGTGAGTTTATGCGTACCACATCCTGTGCAAGGTACCCATAGGGGCCAAAGCACAGAGAATTCCCAGAACTGGAGTTACAGGCAGTTGTGAGCCTCTTGATGTAGGTGCTGGGAATTGAACTCAGGTCCTCTTCAGGGGAAGCAAGTGCTCTTAACCACTAGGCCATCGCTCCAGTCCCCCAGCAGGGCATTTATTTGATTGTTACTAGTGGGGTCTAGTGACTGGTACTGACACCTAGTAGGTGGAGGCAGAAATGCTAAATACCCCACAGCCCACAGACAGAAGGATCCGGTCCACCCATCATGGTGAAGCCCTGTGCTCGGTCAGTTACCTCTGTCCTGATCACTCAAAGACCATGTCAAGCAGAATAATCACGATAGGCCCATGTATGACCGGCCTTCCACACAGCTGTTCCACGAAGGCTCAGGGAGGAGGAAGGCCTCTGGAAGCTGACTCTGAATCCGATGGGCCTAGGCTTATACCAACTCTGACATTTCCTGACTTGGGCTGACTTTCTCAAGTCTTCCAAGTCTTACTTTTTATTTTGGTGTGAAAAGTGTATCTCTCACATGTTTGTATTTGGTTTAAAAGAGAAAGCACAGGGCAGGCAAGACGGCTCAGTCCCTAATGGTGCTTGTTGCACAGGCCTAGTGACTTGGTTCGAGCCCCAGAATCTATGTAAAAGAAAAAGAACCGACTCCACAAAGCCATCCTCTGACCTCTACGCAGGCACTGTGGCATGTGTGCCTGTACACATACACCTTCACACAATAATAAAAAAATACATTAAAAAATTAAGTAATCCATTTTTTAATGTGTATTAGTGTTTTGCTTGCATGTATGTTAAGTGTACCCAAGGGATGCAATGCTCTCAGAGGACAAAAGAGGGCATTGGATTCCTTAGAACTAGAGCTAAGGACAGTTGTTAGCCCCCATGTGGGTGCTGGGAATGAGCCCGCGTCCTTTGCAAGAGCAGCCAATGCTTTCAACTGCTCTCCATTATCCTTAAAATAATTACTTAATAAAAAAATGCATGAAAAATGCAGCGTGCCCAGGGAAATAAGAGGCCGCCACCAGCAGCTCTCTGATTTAAGATACCTGCAAAAACCGCAGAGCTGGCGCAGTGGCTCTGTGAAGGCTTGGACTGTCCTCACAGGCTAGTGATGCTGACATTGATTTCCTGATTATTCACTCACTGAACAAATATTTACTGAATAGCTAGGCTGTGAACACAGTGCTTGCTCTCGGTGAGTGGCCGGTCTCTCTCTCTCCCTCTCTCTCTCTCCTTCACATGCTCTCTCCCGTATAGAACTAGGTCGATACCTACAGTCAACATGTTCCAGGCATCTCTTTCTTTTTCCTGGAAGTTGGACGCGTTTATGCTCTTCAGCCCAAGCAATCAAGTTACGTTCTACTTAGTGGCACTTGGCTTCATCTCAGATCACTTTGGATGCTCTTCTCTTTTCACACTCTTGTTGATAAACCCCAAACCTGATCGTTTCTTTCCCTGAGATGCCTCTTGTGTCGTCTTTTCGTCTCCACATGACCCCGTGGCTCTTTCCTTGTTTCTTTGCCTCATGCCTAAATTGCTGTGGAGGTCTCATAATAGGCCCCCCACCTTCTAGGTAGGTCTCCTCAACCCATCCCCTGCCTTCTAGGCAGGTCTCCTCAACCTACCTTTCAGCACACCTAAGAGGCATGACTCCACAGTATTCATCAGACCCCGTGTCTCCCTCCAGCACTAACCTGCTCACAGAATAAAGCCCACATCCTTGATCGTGGCATAAAGGACCCTCTGCAAACCTTTGTTTCATTCCACAGTCTGCCTTCTTCCTCAATAAAATTTACTCATTATCAAGGTCTTCTTGGAAAGTATGTCTCACAGTCCACACTCATCTGGAGCGTGTGTCAGCAGAATGGACCTGTCGCCTCCATACTCTGCCTTCCGCTGCCAAGCGACAAGGTGGTGGGAGATGCTGGCTATTGGTACCTCTCTCCAGCTGGGCAGTGTGGGCTCCTGAAGGTGACAGGTTTGCCTGCCTCATCCTGTGGTTCTGATCCCTTGTCAATGCACCTGCCACACTGTAGGGCACGCGCATTCCACAGGCTAGTTGTGAAAGTCCCACTGTGAACGCTGGCAATCTGTCAGTGTAGCCTCCATCACAGTGGTTTCTGGGGTGAGTATGTGTTCTCTCTGAATCAAACCAAAGCCAATTTCCAAGTCTTCTGCTGCCTCCTCAGTACTGACCCTACCTGCTGTTGGCTATCAATTGGTGCTTGATTCTTTGAGCTAACTACTCTCTGCCCTACATGTACAGACCAGTTCTGCCACCAGTGAGTTCATTAATCAATTTGCTGGAAAAAACATTCATCCAGGACAGCTGTCTGAGCTTAGCTGACTGATTGACCTGACACTCCAATTCAGCCAAAGGGAGATGCCTTCAGGTGTAGCAAACCCAGCCTTGTTTGCTGTCAAGGTAACCTGAGAAGGGCATGTCAGGATCCCGTAGCTGCACCAGCTCAGCCCACTCACCTTTTCAACACAGCAATCTCGTTCTCTAGGCTGCTGTCCCGGAAGGCCGGTGACTTCTTCATGCACTTCAGGGCGAAGAGTTTCCCAGTCGCTCTTTGCTTCACCAGGAACACTTCTGAGAACGCGCCTCTGTGGGAAACAGGCCGAGACACAACTGTAACTCTGGCCGACCAGAGGGTGCATGGAAAGCTGGAGGGAGGCCTAGGTGAGGGAGGTTTGGGAATAGTTTCCACTCAGACTGAGGACCCAGAGTGAGGTGCTGTTCTTCTGACATGCCAGGGTGCACGCTCCCTCATAGGTCACACGGGACACAGACCGAGGCACCAGACAGCCACTTTGTCCTGCACAGTTTCTGCAGACTGTGGAAACTTCCTATGTGGCAAACCCCATCAAGAAAGATACTGTGGAGCTGATTCACCTCCCATCAGCGTGGCACCAGAGTGGCCCACGGGTGGTCGGTGGTGGCAGCAAGGAAGACAGATTCAGAAGCCGTTATCCTGTCATCCATCATCTATCTATATCATCTGTCTATCATCTATCTATCATCTATCATGTGTCTACCTACCTACCTATCATCCATCTATCATCATCTATCTATCTACCTATCATCTATCTACCTACCTATCATCCATCCATCTAGCTATCATCTATCTATCTATCTATCTATCTATCTATCTATCTATCATCATCTTTCTATCATCTTGGGTCTTGTTATGTTCAGACTGTCCTCAAACTCCTCCTGCCTCAGCTTCCCAGACAGCTGGGGCTATAGGCATGTCCTATCAAATGTCCTGGAAATCACTCTGATTTCATCTTCAGAGAACATCCTAGAAGTCTCTATAAATTCTGGGGTATGTTGGATGGAACTCATCAGGAAATAAGGCAGGGTTCTGGTAGAACAGGCGAAGGATGTGAAGGGCATCCTCTAGACACAAGTTATCAGAACAACAGATAATCGAGGGGCAAAAGCTGGAGCCTGATGGTCCATGTTAGCTTATTTTGGGTGACAAGTTTCTTGAATCCTGTAACTTCTACATACATGGTCTGAACAGTGGGAGTATCAATCGTACAGGATTCATAGGGTTGTATAAAGGATAAATGAGTTACTATCTGAAATTCTTAAAGATGTTAGTGGCATCTGTTTAAAACACATGTTTCCGCTATGGTTAGGAGTCTTACTGAGTAGCATTAGGCAGAATACCTCGTAATCCGCGAGGCAACAGAATCTAAGGGAGTGAAAAGCTGGGTCATCTCCTCTCCTGCCATCTGGATATTGTAGAACGATACTGGGGACACATCAAAACATGACTCTAAGTAGGAGATGCAGGAGATGTAGGAGACTCAGAGGTGACGTGCCATGATGTTTGCGGCTTGTTTGTAAATACATGTATGTGTATAAAACACATGCAGCTACCCCCGGGTGCCTATGGCGATTAGTTCCAGACTCTCAGAGTTCAGACTCTCAGGTGTTGCCTGTAGCCTATGCCCTTAAATCATCCCTACTCAAAACGCACACCGTGAAAACTTGTCCACGTTAAGTGCAGACCCATTTTCCCCCAATATTTTTGATCCTCGGATGGCTGAATCTGCTGATGTGGAAATGAAAGATACAGGATGGCTGTGTGAGATGCTAACAACTGGTGGACGGAAGCATGGGGGCTGATCCTCACTGTGACATTATTTCCATCTCTCTTTCCTTATTTTAAACACTTCGTTAAAAGCTGGAGCCATGGCTCTCAGACAGCTCCCATGTCCCTCTAGGTCTGCACATGGATGCGGCTGACCTCCCTCCCTGAGCTCCAGCAGACCAGGCAGCATAAGCTCTTGTCAATCTGGACTTGCTGCTCCCCACTTCCCTTGCATTTTGAGATGCGTAACAAATAATTTCTGATTCACTCATGAGCTTTGTCTCTCTCCCATCCTCCACACTCCAGCCACCTGCTTGGCAAAGCCAGAGCTCTGAGGGCTGGAACCACCACTGCAGCCCCCTGCGTACGTGGAGCCCGACACTTCTGGTGCAGGCAGTGCTTGGCGCCTGTCTGCAGCAAGAGCATTGGCATCTGTCACTGCCTGAGGCCTTGGCCTTCTGGCCAGGGAAGAGCGGAGTGGCACTTTATTGGAGCAGGGTGAAGGGAGCGCTTGCTGGAGGGAGCAGTCTGTGGGCTACACCTCACTGCCTAGGCCCAATTATCCCTGGTTCATTAGCTGACAGCTGGGGCTCTGAGGAAGCACGGGGCTGCTGGCTGGAGCTGCTGACTGGCCTACATCAGAGCCTGTGACCTCCTGAGGGACAGGCAGGACTGAGTGGTGAGCCTGCCCCAGACAAGCAGTCTGGCATGGAGTCGGTCAGCTGTGTGATTGGTGTCAAGGCTCAGGCCCAGACATAAGAAGAGAACCGATGGATGTGAGGAGCCCACCAGAAGCCTCATCTCTTCTGCCTAAAGCAGACAGTGAGATTATCCTGGTCACATGACTGGGGAAATGAGGAAAGCTGAATGGGAGGACCAAGGATAAAGTTCTATTGTCACTGAGTCTGTGGAACGTGTCCCAGTCCCTCTCCTCTGTTACCGGGTCAAGGATGCTCAAGTTGTCACAGATCTGGAAGAATGACAGAGGTCACTGGGTGGCTCAGGACACAGACTCTGGGGGAGGTTTTTATGAGGGCTCCAATGCCTTGAATCAAAAGGTTCCGTCTACCACTCTATCCCCAAGGCCATAAAATCTCTGCAGGTCTCCTTGAGCTGATGAGAGTGAGTTCTAGGGACCTTGGTTCACTCCCTCAGCCACGGAGGGTCCTACGTGTCAGAGCCCAGAGCAGGCAGCCCAGCCCTCTGACCTCCTGTTCTTCTGACCTCCCAGCCCTCTAACCTCCCGGATCTCTGGCCTCCCATCCCCCTGGCATCCTAGTCCCGGGACTTACGACCCCAGCACTTCCATGAAGATGAAGGTTTTCCGGATGTTGGTGGTCTGTTTCTTCCAGGAACTACAGTCCTCCTCCTCTTTTCGACCCATCGCCTCCAGAGTTGAAGCTGACAGGGGATCTTTGTGGGAGGAAGGAGTGGAGGGAGGGAAGCAAGACAAGTCTGATCAGAGAGTTTCTCAAATAAGATGAGAACAGGTTGCAAAAGAATCTAAAACACAACGGTGATGTAATGGCCAGAAGGAAGGACTAGGAGCAGAACCTGGATAAAGGCAGAAATAAAGTTCTCCCACTTGCTTTCTAAAATTGCTGAGCAATTTAGCAGCAGTGCTGTATCCTGCTTGCTACATGCTAAAGGCCTTCGATTGAGGGTGGCGACCCCGCTAGGTGATGTGTGCATTAGTGAACGGTGCACACACATGTGGGTTAACACAGAAACACCCAGCCTGAGGGTGTCTGAGCTGAGCCCAGGAGCTTCCCACCAGCACAGCTCTGCCATCTTGCCTGGTTCTTACTCCCACATACCTGCAGCGCTGTGAAGGAGCGTTGTACTATCCATCAGTGCTGCGCACAGTTGTTCATTAGCACCTGGGCTGAACTATGCCCTCGTTTCGTGCACCAAAGCTCCTGAGCAGCATATGCAGCACCTGTGACGTGCCACCTCCCTGATGATGGACCAGTTAGATGGTGGACCTCCTTCCTGGGCAGCCAGGCAAAGGAGGCAGGCAGTGAGCCACCCAGCCAACTCCTGTGGCTGAGTGACAGGGAGACTTGGTGGGTGATGGGGACAAACAAGGGTGTCTTCAGATAAGGTCTGGGGAGGCGCTGGGGAAGTATGATGTAGGCTGAAGGCTTTAAGCTGGAGGAGGCATCAAACAAACAAAAACTGCGTAGAGCTGCTTCCCCACAGAAGAATAAAGCACGAAGGGAGAGGTGTGACGTGCGCCAACAGCAGAATGCACGACTACCAGGTATCTGAAGGAGATGGGAAGACACACTTCTACCAACTCCCTCTGCCCTTGAACCTGACAGGGAAGTAGGAAAATATGCTAAAATCCTCTTCTCTTAGGAATGCCTTCTGATCCCACTTTAAAAAAAAAACAGAAACAAAATGCCCACAGAATCAATTCCTCAGTCCTTTTAGTAGCCGTTTATAATTAAAAGAAATTTTGTGGGCTGAGGAGAGCTTAGTCAGTCCAGTGCTTGTCTTGTAAGCATGAGGACCTGAGTCCGATACCTAGGACCCATGTTTTAAAGACTGTACGTATAATCCCAGCACTGGAGAGGCAGAGACAGGTGCTTCCTGGGGCTCACTGACCAACCAGGTTAGTCTTCTCACACACAAAAGTCTGTGCTTCTGTAATTTTGCATCGTGTGAAGTGCATGGGCTTGGAACCTCGTTCAAATCCTCCCTCTGCTAGTCACTCTGTTATCCTCTTGGAGAGTGGGGGCAGTGTGCTCTGAGGAGGACGAGCAGGGTGTCAGCTTTAGCCTGATGCCCTTTGTGGGTTCTGAGCTTTACATCTGCTTCTGCTTCTCAGGGTGTTTGGCACTGGGGATGCAGGAACCCCACCCACCAGGCAGGGAGAAAGGGAACTTGAACTTGTCCAGAGTAGCATGTCAGTCTCGTTGCTGGGCATTCTTGAAGAAGGCAGGGGTCAGGGTGCAGGGGCCCAGGGTAGAGGGGCACATATTTAAGGGTGCAGAATGGACAGGCCTGGTTTGCATGCCCCCCTTTCGTTTTTTTTTCCCTCCATGGAACAACTGGGTGAGGGGCTAATGAAGAGCCTGGATACATGGGCCTCAGCCGTGCTCATCACTCCCCCTTCAGGAGTTCTGGGGAACTGCCTGCTCCACAGGAGGCTCCCAGGCCCCATTAGCAGATCTGTGCTCAATGTTCCTTCCTTCCATGGCTCCTAAATAGCTTTAAAAACAGTATTCTTAGCTGAGGCGAGGGCATAGAAAACATCTTCCCCGCCCACCCCTCCTCCCATACACCGAGTCCTAACAACTTAGCTTTATCATCAGTATGTTGTGGAACATTCAGCAGCCCAGATCTGAACCCCACACCTTCCAAGGGCTGGCTTCCCACCATCTGTGATGTCAGATCCACCTCCTGGTGAGGGGGTCCAGGCCCCGGTGGGGTGGTCTCAGGTGGATAGGAAAGGTCTCCCTCACCCCAGCTGGGTCCTGCTGCTGTCTGCTCTAGCCTTACTCCCTCCTCCCCTGACTTCAGGAATCTAGGTCCTTTCAGAGGAAAAGAAAACAAATTCCAAGAATCTCTGAGCTTGAATAGCACTTGCTTCCAAAGGGCTCTGTCTCCCAGCATTTCTGGTAACAATTCCCCTGGGTTCTGCAGCTTAGGAGCAGTCCTCACAGACTTTCCTGAGGTTTAGGTTAGAGCCAATTTCACCTCCATGGAGGCCTCCCAGGAGGCATCCCAGATGTTGGCATGTGCTCCTAGTTCCTGCCCCTCACTCATCAACAAAGCCAGACTTTGTGAAGATTCCACGCCAAAGACTCCTGGCAAAGAAACTGACCTTATTCGTAGGACCATCTCGGAGCTGTAGGGATAACACTCCTTTATTCAGTGAGCATCTACCTGTTAAGTATGTCATGTATGCTCAGAACTGAACACAGATGTTTCTGTGGCACACGCCTGGCCCTGAAAATGTCTGCAATGTAGTTGGAAGGCCAAATGCAAGTCTGTGGCTGTATAAAGAAGGAACTGAAGTGTCAGGCAACATGCTTGGGGGACAACTGTGGGGCTCCACCCTCGGTCTGCAGTACCCGTTATTGGGCTGGTACACACAGGAGGTCTAGCCTGCAGTAGACCCTTGGGTGAATGCAGAGGGCAGTCCTGGAGAGTGGGTTTGTCAAGGACAGCTTCTGATAGGAGCTGGACTTAAGGTGGGTGAGGGAGCTCTGAGCCTGTGCAGAGGGCAGTGGCTCCGCTGAAGCTCTTGCTGGGAGGCCCTGCCTGGAGCTTAGGGGCCACAGGAGGCCTGACTCTTGCTTCATGTCACTCTTAACACCAGCAGATGATGTGAGCCCTGCACTGAGATTTGAGTGCACAGCTTGGTCACAGACCCTCTCTGGGACACTCTAATTCAGGCCACTTCCTCCCCAGATCTTTTTCTGAATACATGTAGTAATCTGAAGGCATCCTGTGTCAGGTCAACATCTTCTCTAGAAACAACTCCATGGCTGTGACTTAGTCTTGCTGTGGTTTTGGGCTGGTCTTCCTAGCCTCTTGGGGGTAACTTTGCCTCAGGGGAGATGATGAGGTCGCTTCTTCCTAGAGGGTGGGCAGGACAGCTGCAGGCTTGGCTCAGACGCTGCCCCTGAGCACAGCCTCCTCCTGTGCTTAGAGGACAGGTGCTCCGTCACTTGGTGGCAGCCACTGAGCTATTGATGAGATGTTGCTGAGAGAGTTTGGGCCATGAGCCTAGGAAGCAGGAGGCCTCATATGGCACTCCCATGGGGCTCAGTCTCCACTCCTTTTCAGGCTCCATTTGGTCTGAGCCTGTACTGGTCCCAGATAGAACATTCAGGAAGATGAGGCATGTTAGCGACACCCTCCTCAACGCCATCTCAAAGCCACATGTGCCAGGTCACCTCATGATCCCACACTTTACTTCCTGGGCCCTCTCTCTGGACTCCCACTCCTGTTCTCCTGCTCTCTGTGACCTCCTGACCAGAACTTTCCTCTTTGAGCATCAGCCATCTCGGACTCCGCTCTGAGGTACATATTTAAGAAATGAGTGTTGCCCTGCTCTTAAAACATCCCAGAGTCCTGGAGTATCATGTTGTAAACTGAAGGCGTTTGGTCCAGTTCTACCAGCTCTCCCTAACACAGGTTGACATGCTATCTCTAAGCTAGCCTAGACATACCAGAGGGGTGGGGACAGGGATGGAGGGAGTTGGAATAGTATCTCTACAGTTTTAAATGCACGGGCAAAGGCTCTCATATGGGAAGAGACCCCAGGCTTTCTTTCGGTACCCCTGTCTGGGTTTCCTGAGCAAGGAGGTGTGACTCACTCCTGCATGAAGTGAACAGGCCTCAGTAGCTTCCAGAGCTAGCTCTGTTTTCATTGATCTGAGAAGAATCAGTGTGTCCCAAGATTCATTTTTCTTTTCTGCTGCTGGGGATTGAACCCAGAGCTATGTACTAAACAAGCACTCTACCACAGAGCTCTGCCCTCAACCACCGTAAAGCTTCTTTGTCCTCTGCCACGATTGTTGGAAGCATGGCTCCATAATGGGTCTGGGGACCCTGGAAGGGAGGTTATCTATGGGATCATCTTTAATAAGAATGTGTGCTCTGCCTCCCAGTCGGGACACACACACACACACACACACACACACACACACACACACACACGCAGGCCAGATGGCAAAAGGTGGGAGGTTTTCCTGAACTGGCTCTACAGTTTGCTGAACTCTGGCCTGTACCGGACGCGACATTGTCCTCTGAATTGGAAGCATAATAGGAACCCAAGTTTAGCTCCCATCTTAGCTTGGTACTCTGGAGCTGTGCAGCCCAAGGCAGATTCCTCTACACCTCTGAATTTCCACCGTTCTCCTTAGTGAAAAATGGAGACTGGGCTAGACTGGGTCCCTGAAGTCTGTTTTGTGGACTGTGAGTCTCAAGACTCCCTGTGGGAAGGTGGCTTTGCTGCCTGTGTGGGTCCCTGGAGAGTCCCACTCCACATTAGCTCCTGAAAGACCCCAAGGACCACTAAACAGCACTTGCTTACTGAGGTTTGTCCTAGCCGTTCCCACATTTCCTTGATGATGAAACTTTCCTAAACCCATTAGCAACAGGAACCCGGGGCTGCCCAGAGCATGTGCTGGCTCATGCAGGGCAAGGCCATCTCCAATACTGTCTCACTCGCTCTTTCTGAGGGATCCACGGTGGCACCTGTGCAGCCCTCACAAATTGTTGCAACCCAGCGGCTCATCAGCCACCAGGACCCTATGGGCTCGCGGAGCCTCCTGCTGGAGAGAAATGCTGAGGCCCATTCCCTCAGTGCCCAGCCTCTTGCCAGCTCTGCGTACCAGTTTCTGCTCGCAGACTAACTGAGGAAGAAGGTTTTTCAATTGCGTCTGCAGTTTTTTTAGGTGAAAACCCACATTTCCATATTTAAGCTCAACCAAATCATCGTTGCAGGGTGACAAGCCAGCTTCTCATGGGAAGCTGAGAGCCATCTCCACTGCCTTCCCAGGAAGCAGCTGGGAGAGTAGGGTGGCGGTTTATTCTTAACTACACTGGCAGCCTCAGTTTCCCCATCATCTGTAGAGTGGGAACAGCAACCTCTGCCTCCTATGAGGTCAATTGCATCCAAGGGCAGGGAACACAACGTGTCCAGTCTCTTACCACTTGGCTTATCCCACAGTGTGAAGTGTGAGCTGAACACCGAGCATTCGGGAAGAGGAGGGGCAGCAGGTGCTGATTTACCTAGGGACAAGCATGACAGGAGTTGGGGAGCTATGTCCCCAGAGCTGCCCCAGCTCTCCTAGGCCTCCCACAGTGACAGCATCCATGTCCCCAGGATTCTGAAGTGTTAGAAGACATATGACTTTCACACATCACAGCCTGGAGTGCATACCCCACAATTCCTCTGATCCTGGGCAGAAGAACCAGGCATCTTCCCCAACACAGAGGAAACATGCCCGGGTGA